ATCTTTAGAGCGGTGTACTTGTATGTAGCTGTGTCTTGTGAGTGTCAAATAAATCTCTTCACCTAATCCAGAACCCACTATTATTATTATCCACGCTAACCAGGAATACGTTTAGGTCGTAATACCACGTAGACTACCACGTAATACGTGGTAGTCTAGGCCTACGTTGCCGGGCTTCTGGATCTTTAGATTCGTGGTCTGTCGCAATTTCTTCTTTCGTCCCTTCGCTTGCTCCCTCCCTTCTTTTTACTTCCATTTTAAGTTTGTCTCTTATCTTTCCGTCTTTTCTGTTCATTCTTTCTTCGTCCTTAAACGATACTTCTCCTTCATAAGTGATTTAGTGTCGAATGGTAGGTTCATGATGAATGATGGATTGTAAAGATTATGGATGGAGACGTCTTAACCATTTTCAAGATATATCAAAGAATTTTCTTAAATGGAAAAGTTGTTCATATCTGAAGAGAAACTCGAGCTCGGAGTCTCCAGAATACGAGAAATTGTTAGTCACGACACCACAGCGTTTGGCCAACGTATTACGTATTTTCCGCATACATGTCCGGACTCACCCCTCAGGCAAAGTAAAATATTGTGACGTGTTATTGACTAGACGCCGTGTTCGGATTAATGATTGAATTTATTGAGCACTTGTAACTACAAATCAGTATAACTCTCTCTAATTATACACCTTGCAGGTTCTTTGTCTTCACCAGGCTTTGCTTCGTAACGGCGTCTAACAATGCAACTTCTTCTACTTCTGTGTTCATGTCTTTGCCGGCTAGCTACCGTCTCACAACTAACTCATGACTGTCGACTTACAGGCAGAGTCAGATCAGAGCCAGTCAGAATCATAGTAACTTCACGACTGGCGATTTACCGCCAATCAGTTCGTCTTGGCGACAAGTCCCATGAGACTGACGACAAGCATTTTTTTCAACTGAATATATGCCTTCATAGTCCTTATGTAACATTGTCTCCGACGAGAGGATGGGTCCGTAGTTTACAATTGCTGCTGGTCCTCACCAGCGCAGTCATTCTCAGGAAACAATTCCCGCGGGACTCGTGACCATATTTTACTGTCTCACATTCGAGACTCCCCCAACCTGGAGGCTCAGGTCTCCGTATTTATATCCCACAGGAGGAGGGTGGCCTAGCTGTACCTCCAGGCACTGGGTTCCCTTTTCGTCGCCTCCAACGACTCGCTGCTCTACAGTGGAGGTATTCGATCTCTCCTCCACACGGCTTGTCCTGTCTTCCTCGTTATGCAACCTCGGCACGGACCACGTAGACGACACCATTTCCAACAGTTTGCCTATTGTTTTTGCGTGCTGATTCTCCAGCAGTAACTCTATTGTTTCAAGCTGATTTATTGCTGGAAAACCATGTTTTGGTTGCTGTGGAAACGTGCTTAGGTTGCGACTGCCTTGTAACGGACAGGTTCTCAACCATCACGTTCCAATAGTTACGGCTGTATGGAATACTAGGTTCCGGCCGTGGTTACAAAATCGCATTAAGATGTACACATGTAGGCGCAGTCAGATCGGCATCATCATCATCATCATGAGCCTGTCTCTCTCTATAAGCACTTTCGCCTCAGACTTTCATTCTTGTCAAAAAGGCAGTTGTGACACAAGTTCTCTGAATACAGCTGAAGGCAGCAGAATGAAACACGTATATGCATGCAAGCTTGTGGCCCTGCGGTAAAGTACTGTCAATTATAGGCTCGCAAACATGCGATGAATTTCTACGAACGAAAACAAATATACGTGTATATAATATTTCTTTAAAAATGAGCGTGCACTTATTGATTGTGGAAATATGACTCGAATATTTTGTTGGTAGGATTACCGATAATGCACAGCTAAGCGCAAAATGATGCATTGAAAAGAGAAATTCCCAACAACTTTATATTGTAAAATGTGTTCATATCGTCAAGTATGAGGGATTTGCTTGACGAATATAACGGGTTCCGGGTTGGAAGGTTGGATTTATTGGTACTTCTATTACAATTACAATCAATCATAACTGCTCAAAATCAATGATTGTGTACGACTTGCTCATTCCTCACTGGACCACGAGTGACTGACTTGGTTCTGATTTACGAATTGGTCACTGCTTCTGCTGCGACTGCCTTAAACGACGACTGTCGAGTCTGAATCTTATGTTACGACCGACGGTCAGTCGACCAGTCTGTCTTGGAATAAAGCACCCTTCTGGGGCTTGCTACCAGATTTTTATTATTTTCACACAGTTGAGGATTTACTGATGTGGGGCGCTCTCTCTCTGACGAGAGGACGAGTCTGTCTTTTACAGTTGCTGCTGGTTCTCGCTAGCGCAGTCGTTCTCGGGTCCGAGTCCCGTCGGACTCACGACCATAATTTACTGTCTCAGATTCGAGGCTTCACTTTTCGTCGCCTCCTACGACTCGCAGGGTCACGATGGAGGTATTCGACCCTGCCTCCACGCGGGGTACGACGACTATCTTTCGAATGACTCCATGAATGCACGAACGATCTCTTTATATATATACAAATTGGAGGGAACCGATGGGAGATCACCACTTCGAACAATTCATGTATTACTCGGTTATTATTTGTGTTCTGTCTTTTGCTACGAAAAGTGCCTAGCTAACCGTTGCCCAGTAATGGATTATTCCGTGTTTATTCGTTACAGCGTGAACTTCTGTTTGGTGAGCCGTTGGCTAGCAGAGGATTTCCGCTCTGGTCCCACTATTCCGGCTTTCAGACGTCATGTCACAATATTTTATCTGCTTCATAGTTACTCTCCGTTGTCATGAAATGACCTATGTGGGTCATGTAACGACATATCGTTTAGAACAAGGGTCTACAAACTACGGCCCGCGGGCCACATCCGGCTCGCGATGTGATTTTATCTGGCCCGCGAAAGAATTGTGCAGAAATGCGCCAATTGAACTAATTTTCCAGTGAGTACTGGTAAATGTGATTCCGAGCTTATTGACCTGACATATTATACTGCAGTTCGATGGCTTAGCTGTGGAAAGGTTCTTTCGCGCTTCTTTCAGCTCAGGAATGAAATTGATATATTTCTTACCGAGAAAAACCATCACGAACCACTTTTATCAGATACCGAGTGGCTTTGGAAATTAGCATTTTTTGCTGATCTGGTGAACCATATGAACCATTTGAATTTAAAGTTGCAGGGTGAAAATAACTTAGTCTGTGATTTATTTGCACTTATCAAGGCATTCAGAGCAAAGTTGATACTTCTGGAAAGCCAAGTGAAAAATTGTAACTTTGTTCATATGCTATACTGTGCAGAGTTGCATAAAAAGGGTGAAGCAGAATTTCCTTCCTCGTTTGCAAATTTAGTCATTTCAGATTTGAAAGAACAATTTCGGAAGCGATTTGCTGATTTGGATTCCAGTGCTCAGGAAATTAGATTGTTTCAAAATCCGTTTGACTGTGATGCTGCAGATGTCCCAAGTCAAATTCAAATGGAAATTATTGAACTTCAGGAAAATTATCATATTAAAGACAAATACAAGGAAGGAAATTTGATCGAATTTTATAAATTTCTGAACTCCGAGCAATTGCCAAATTTAAAGAAATTTGCTTGTAAATTTATCTCCATTTTTGGGGCGACATATCTGTGTGAACAGACTTTTTCCCAGATGAAGTACATCAAGTCGAAATACAGGACAAATTTATCCGATGAACATTTAAAGTTGCTACTTGAGATTAGCGTTTCCAAATTTGAACCTCAATTTAATTAGATTTTAAGAATGCAAAAAGAGTTCCATCATTCACATTAATTGTTTTATTATAATTTGTGATGAAAATATGAGCATTTGCTGCTACTGTCTGTTGTCATTAATATACGATAATTTATTCTCACATACTTTGTATTTAGTTTATGAAATTCTGTGCTTTCAATAAAACTCATCGGCCCGTTGAAAGTGCTGAATTACCTAATGTGGCCCGCGGTTCGAAAAGTTTGGAGACCTCTGGTCTAGAACCTATATTTATAATACATTTATATGAGTATAGTTGTCAGCGTTGGTCAAATGAATGCCTTTCGCGTGTTCGAAAGTGTACGACCTCCCCGATACGGCGCTAAAGGGCCGTAGATTCATTGTCTGTCGACGTCAGGTTCTGGCCTGAACACCCCTGGGGAATATACGTATTTAATGGCCTCTACGTCTTCGCCCAGAACACCCCCCCCCCTTCCGAACTGCTTCATTTGGACAAACATCGTATGTTTGGTGAATTAGAGAGTACTGGAGAGAGAGAGAGAAGTTCTGAGTATTGTCCCAGGATTGTCCCCAACGCGAGTAGTAACGTCACATTGACTTCCATCCAGATGTGTTGAACAAATACATTGAGCTGAAGTTACACGTAAGCATTGAAGCATTCTGCTTTTACCTGTATTTTTCTCTCGCTTGGGAAGTTCACAAGTCACGTAATCCTCCCGAGAGCACTGGAACTTCAGTTTGTTTGCATTATGCTTTTTGAGCAAACTGAATCCTCAGAATTACTGGGGGTTTGGACTGTATCCATCGTCCGGTATTCTAGAAGCTAGAGAACGTAATATTTCGGAAACTTGTTCTTTTTCCAGCCTCAGGCGAAGGAAGAAGACACCTACTCAATTGGTCCCCTTAGAAAAGCTAACCTCAATCACTGGACAACCCCCTGTCAGATTCACTGCGACTATTTAATCACCTGAAATAGCTGTAGTGAATCTGACAGGGGTTGTCCAGTGATTGAAAACGGGAACGGAGCTATTTCTATTTTCTAGAATATCAGACAATGGGCAAAGTCCAAAAAACGAAGTAATTCTAAGTGTTATACACCATTGTCAAAACCTTTTAGAATCTACTCAAACTGAATCTGCGTTCTGACCACAGAGTCCCTTTTCCAGTTTAGAATGTTCAGAATAAAGTTTTAAACACCCATTTCAGAATGTAATTACAATTTATAGAAACAGACGTGCTGATAATATTGTCTTTGTGTGTGTGTGTGCAGAAAGACGATACCAGTGAGCATCATTGATGAAGACAGTTACGAGAAGGACGTACTCTTCTATGCACAACTCGGCGAGATTAGGATGCTAGACGGTGAGTAGACTGCCATTATATTTTGACACACAATCTTCCCATGCCTTAAACATAAATACTTATATCTTTATAACTCGAGTATTGAAGGAACATAATACCATGTCAATGCGTGCAGAATATTTGTGGTTTTCAGTAAGTAATAAATCCTTCTTCATGAATCTTTAAACCCATTTTCCATCGGTGGACTTATGGTACCACAGTTATGCGAGATACTGACCACTGTGTGTACTTGTCGATGGGTAACCGTTAGTCAAGCAGTTAACATGAGAGTAAAGCATTAGTGGTAAAGTGGTCGAAGTTCTATTCCGACCTCTGTCTCTGTCACTGTCCTCAGTATAGTAAATGAAAATTACATAAAAGACGCGAGCAGGGCCCGTGCTGTTATATAGACGTCAGAAAGTGGAAGTTTTTCTGTATTATTGAGAAGGCAGAACGCACCTTGTAAACCCTGTCTGCCATAGTTAAAATAAAATTAACACCCTTGTAATTTTTCATATTAATCGTGGTTCTTCCTAATTATTTAGATGTTATATCAAATTCATATAATTAAAAAATAATGGTTTATAGGAAGTGACGTCTTCCTGAACAATAATAAAAATGTGGAGGTTGCATTAAAATGTTAAATTCGACCTAGACAAATCTTGTATGAGTGTTAACGTTACGACTAAGTAACCAAGAAGGGTATAATATGAAGTGTTCTGTACTGGAATGAAGTTGGGGTTACTTCATAGAATAACGAACAGATTTCATAAGGGACACAATAAAATAATTTAGTGAAAATTTACCTAAAAGTCGATGCTCTTTTTCAATACTTCTCTTTCAGCAATTTTTCCCTCCTAAAATTTTTGCACCGGAATTCAAACGACGCCGCTATCCAAACAGACTCGTATTTTCAGTGAGTAAACTGCTGAGCCGGAGAAGTTCATGGAGGTAGGCCTAGGCCCACTGGGGCTGTAGTGCCAAGGAAAAAAAAACTGCTGAGCACTTAATGCAGCATGAATTGGAGCTCCCTTCTTTAGCTGGACGGAATCGTAAAAGTTGTTCTGGACGTCCGTCAGACCCTAAATGCTTTCTGTTCCTTTTAGCTGCAGTATGAATCGGAGATTCTTGAGAGCTGTCCCTTAAGATTGGGGGGGGGGTTTATATGCTTATATGCTGGGATTAATAGCTTCCAGGCGCCCCCTGTGAAGGATATTACAGTAGGACGAACAGAGATGACAGGCCACCATGTTGCTGTCTCTTCCTCTCACAACACTAGCTGTGTCTGCAAATAATCTAAGTTCTGTTTTTACTGTTGCAAACTGTTTTGTGCTTATGTAGTGGCGTGAGAAATGGAACATTTCTCCCTGCAATTCAGCAAGGAGCATTTAGGACAGGTAAACGTGCTCCGTGGTGCAAGATCTTTAAAAGTTCACAGTTGCTCAGGTGGTCAAGATATTCCGCACTTTCGTGGAACACATGAACCATTACTATTTTGACAGGAGACAGCTATTGGACCCCATCTTTGTACCTTGTTTGTCTATGATACGTTTTAATATTATCCTACCATCTGTGTCTAGGTCTCTTTAGTCAGGTTCTCGGTCTCACAAAGGTTGAGAACGCCTATCTTAAGTGGTCCATTCTCCTGATGTATTTCTTACCTCCTCCTTGCAGGTCTTTGCTCTATATCCCATTCATTTCAACTTTTATTTAATTATCCTTTGCTTAGTTACGAATATTCGCCTCAGAATATTTTCTAACACTCTTAATCTATGTTCTCTTGGAGTGTGAGATCGTATTCCATATGCATATAAAGTAATGTGGAAAAGTTTTATTTTATGTTTATTAATTTTTAATCAGTAAAAGGTGAAATAAAATAATTACAATTAGAGTCTCATTTCCCTAATCTTGAATCTAATTTTGATTTGTTACTTTCATTCACAAGTACCTGATCTTTCCATACTCCCAGAATCCTTATTAGCCAATCGTTTTACTATGATTATGTGTGATAGTACTGAAACTTGCCTCTCATTGTCCAGTGTTTGTTTTCTAACCGTCAATCCGAAACGAATAATGAAAGCCTTTACATCTCTGGAGAGTTATCTTTGCAGTTTTGGATGTGTGACATGGAATTATGGTGTGCTGGTTTTGCTAACGATTCTGTGACCTTTAGTGTTTTCATCTCGAAGGTAACAGGTGTTGTCGCAAAAAAAAAGTGACATTACAATTTGAAAATTTTAATTGGACCCTTGTTGATCTAGTCTGAGTGAACTGCTTAAAAATAGTACTAAATAGTGTATAAGTTAACGCTAGAGTACATGCGCCATTGTTCTGTCTGAAACACATTACACCAGCATAATGTGCAGCCGAGTTTATGTTTATAATCAAATATTGAAGTTTTAGTTCTGGTTGGTTCAAAGTAAACGACCGATAAGGATTGTTAACTGTTCAAAAATCTCTCTCGACCTATGAGTTTTATAATGCCATTTCAATTCGAGCGTTTTAACTATAGTTTCTTTGCATTCTTCAGACATTTACTGCATTCAAAGTAGGTAAATTTTTACATCTTTACACTTGCCTAGACACCATGCCGTCACAGCACATAGAAAACCTAGAGGTAAACACAAGGCAGAACCAGACAGAGGCATTGAACAGATTAGTATAGCAGGTATGTATTCGAGGATGTATGCAATTCGATTCTTGGCCGGTTGGACGCTATAGTAATCGAGTTCTTTCGTGTGATTTCTTTGTATCTACATACAGATGTTGAAACAGCATACTCTAAATAGGCCACGACCACTTTATTCCAAATCTTTACCTACTCACAAACCACGAGCGAATTTACATGTCTTTCGATGCTATGTAAATTCTGCAGTCCTAACGTTGTCGCCAGATATCCCAGTATTCAATCAGTTGTGTGAATGTGAGTGGTTACTTTCATGTTTCCGTCGCCTTTACTCCTGAGAAGTAAGCCTGCTGTACCCAAACATATAATGGATGAGCACCTAGAACCCTTAAAGACTTCTTGGGAAGGAGAAAAATGTCGGGATTCAAACACCGTCCTTTTCAGGATATGTACAGTTAATATCCTCATTAAAAGTTAAACGTTCACTGCCCACAATTGCAAATCGTGACGATAAATGGAACTGTAAATGCAAGCACGGCTCTTACTGTGTTTCGTTTGTTGATTGGAAGACAGAACACGCCATGCCTTTGGCTATAGAAATAAAAATATAACTTAAAATACTCCACAGTTGGTTCTATTTTATTTGAAAGATTCCCTCAAATGGCTGTATCAAGTTCCGTCTGTAGGACAGTGCTTACTTAAACACGCCTGCTCTTTGTTGTCAGAGAAAGTGACTCCTCCGTTGCCACAGCCCTCCTCAGTTTGCTCCACGCTCTTGTACCGGAAACATCTAACGAAGTTTAGCACTTTTGTTTTATTTATTCCCGTGCTCTCAAAAGGAAGATAATTATATCAGCAACAATGAAAATGTGAAAGTCGCGCAAAGAGAAAACAGAACAACACACACACACACACTCCATATTTATTAAAAGGCATATTGCATCAATGCATCCAACACAGTCCATGGCCTTATGCGTAATTTCGCCAATGCCAAGCGCCCCTTGTGAAGAGGATGTCCGTGCTTGTAAAATATGTGTACTGCTTTGGAGTGGGCAGTAGGGTCTTGATGCTTTCATAAAGCAGTAAGATACTGGAGATCATTTTGTCGTGTCCGGAGACACGCTTTTTAATCCGAATCTGAAACATTTGACATGACATCGCGCGTGAATCTAATGAAGAGACAGGAGATGATCAAAACGTGCAAACATGGCCGCCAGAGCGCACGAGATTTATGTCCCTTTGCACTTCGCTCGGCTTTGCAGCCTCTAATATAGAAGTACAGTCGTGGATATACAAATCTTTCTGAATGTGTAGCTCGTTATTTTCAGTTTTTCATTGATCGTGATATTCATTTAGCGCGGAAACAATTAGACCCTACGTTGACAGAGGCAATCAGCAGCCTTCGATGGACTCTCGGGTTCAAGCGTCAACAGTTGGAGAGACTTGCGACGGGCTGCTCACTCCTCCGAAGAATCCTACCGTCTGTGTATAGGGATAAGGAACTGAAAAAGACGGCCAAAGTCCAAAGGGCTGTAGATCCCTGCAACTACTTGCAAACACATTTCTAACATCACTACCACATCTTCAAGAGCTTCCATCAAATAAAAAGTTATCTAGTTGTGTATAAAACTAAAACTGTCATATGATTTAAAGTTAAGACAAACTATAAATTTGTAATTTAACTGATATTTCCGTAGGCGATTCATATTATATTAATACACATTCCATATTCTTGACATACAGTGGTGTGTTGTGTTATTTATATCACTGTTTGTTTAAAAATTCATGCATTTGTTAGCATCTCCTTTTCATAACTGGGTTTTCCTTGGCTCTCTACATAAGTTTAGCTTGCCGTTCAAGAATAATGACAGATGACTCATCTACATAGGTTTAGCGTGCCGTTTAAGAATAATGACAGATGAATTTCTCTACATAAGTTTAGCGTGCCGTTCAAGAATAATGACAGATGAATCATCTACATAGGTTTAGGGCGTCGTTTAAGAATAATGGCAGATGAATCTACTGTATGAAATAAAGGATTTAGGCAATTAGATTAGCCCATATTATTGTATTTCTGTGTTACTTAAGGACGTTAGTATCGAGACCATACTGCGTGGAATGGTTGCGTAACAGATGAATCATGATGAAAAGGAAAGGATATGGAAGGAAGTCACCGTGGCCTAATAGAGATACTATCCCAGCACTCGGCCGGAGGGACTGAGGTATCGTGCTAAAAATTTGAGCCGAGCTTCCCCCGAATACAAGTCTAGAGCGTCACCTCCAGGCCAACGTGTTCGGTGCCAGTACCCTTGAATAATATCAAATTTAACTTAAGCGCAAAGCCGATGAATTGTAATCTAATTTGCCAAAATAATATTAACAAAATGTTTACAAT